CGTGTCCTGCATCCCGAGTCCCGCGGCCTGCATCCCGAGCCCCGCATCCCCCAGCCAGGAAAACCCTCCTGAGCCGCTGGTCCCAGGTCGCTCCTAGGCTTTTCCCCGGTTCTCCTCCTAGTCTGGTCCCTCCATGCCGGGCGGCCGGGACGGCCCCGCTCCGGGCTCCTTGCCCTGCCACCCGGGAAGGCCACAACACAGGTGCCACCAGCAAACACTGCAGCAGCATCTCAGAGATGCCATGGGCCGAGCTCGCCGCTGTGTCCCCCATCCCTGTCCCCATCCCAAGCTCACCCGCCCTGCCAAGCGATCCGGGTCCCTAAGGGATGGGGCAACCTGCCAAGAGCCCCAACAGCCGCTGTCCCCTGCGGGACACCCCCCTCAGCGGCTCTGAACCGGGAGAGGGGAAGTAAGTAGGTCAGCCAAGCAGGCGGGTGCGAGTACAGCAGGAGCGAGTAAACAGATTATTTTGGAATTCACTGGCAAACAAAGCACCGTTTTTTTGTTATTAAAGATTAAATGTCAAGATAACATTTGGCCTTCTCACTCATGGAGAAAAATATCCTGCTGAGATGTTCAAAAGCCCTTCATTACTGTAAGCTAGCGCCTTTTCTCCCTCTTTTTCTTCCTCCTGGTTCAATAAAAAAAGATCAGGGTTTTGCTGCCAAGTTGCCCATCCAAGCAAAGCCGCCACTGCCACAGGCTGAGCCTGCTTGGAGCTGCCGAGTTTCACACCAGGAGACATCAGGACTTGCATGTAGGTGCAAGAACCCCCATATCGTGGAGCCAATCCCCAAAACATGTGGCTCCCATTTGGAAACGCGGGAAGATCTCCCTGGAAAGCAGAGCTTTCGTCTTTCTTTTGGTCTTTATGAAAACTTCATGCAACACGCTGCAAGCCTCATCTTCCTGCCCAAAGGAGCCACCGATCCCGTGTGTGAGGAAGGATGCTCCAGGCCTCCGCTCCTGGCTCCTTGCAGAGCCGGCTGTCCCAAAGGCCAGGGGCTGAGGACCATCCTGCACGTGCACGCTGCCATCTGGCACCACGGGATGGTGTTGAGAGCTTGAATCTCTGGATTTAAACCTCTGGATCTCTGCTACGGCCTCCCCCAGGAAGCAGGGAAGCTCCAAGCTATGCTGCTGCAGCAGAGCCCAGAGCTGGCCGTGTCCGCAGCCTTGGGAAGCTCCAAATCCAGCTCTAATCCCGGGCTCTAAAGCAGCCGCTGTCCCCTCTGCGCGCTGCAGCACCCGCCCCGGGACACGGTGCCCCCTGCACATCCCCGCATGCACAAACTGCAC